CCCTAGGGCCGGACCCAGGTCAGGGTGCGCGGAGGAGCCACGTCCAGGCAATTTTGGGGTTAGATTTGGTCAGTGAGCACCTAAAGGGGAGCGAGCGAAATCGAACCCAGGCTGGGGGCAGGGCCAGCCCCGCTCCCCAGATAATTAGTGCAGCTGATTCACAAATGCTAATTTGCCATTTTAGGTCAAGGGTCAAAGAAATTAAAGGATGGGAGGGGAGAAAACAGAAAAAGAGCCTGAGCAGAGGCAGCCTCTTCCCCTCCAGCTCTTTGCATAGCAAGGACATACTGGGAATGGACTGGAATGGACTGGGATTAGACTGGGCTTACCCTGCCCCAGCCTGGCGGCGCAAAGCATCTCTGCAGGATCCAGCCCTGGGCATCCCGCGAAGCCAGGCAGCCTGGCAGGGACGGGCAGTGCGGAGCAGGGCCAACGCAAGAGGTGGCACGGGCAAAGGCAGCACCAAGGTGCCGTCCAGCCACCAGCATCTCCGGCTGCTGCTCTCCTGCCGTCAGGGTTTAAGGGCTACCGCTTAACGTGCGAAGGAAAAAAAAAAACAAACCATATTGATTTGCCCGAGGCTTCGTGGAGAAACAAGACCGCACGAGTTTCTATGGAAACAAAATTAGTCGAGTAAAACTCTCACTGACTGCACGGTGAATTATTTACCAGGACAGGCCCTTGGCCATTAGGGTCTGGTAAAAAGATTTAAAGGTGATGGCTGCGCGGGCTGCTGGCAACCCCTTCCCTCGGGGCACTAAACCACAGCCGAGGAGGAGGAAAGCCCCTGGGTTTCCACAGCATGAGCACAGTGAAACCCACCGGGGACACTGGGTTTCGCCCGCACGGGAAGGTCCTGCACCTCCATCACCTTGTCCAGAGCTTCAGGTGTCCCCGGGGAGAGGACGGGGGTGGCACGGGGGGATGACAGGGAGGTGCAGCAATGGGGAGATTGTGATGAGCAGACAGGAGTAAGCTGGCACGAAAGAGGAGAACTGCAGGCGTCCGAAGCTGTCGCCTTCCTGTAGTTTTGCTTTTTTACGACAACTTGACCATACTGATGAGCAGGCGTGCGAGTGCAGGGGCTCTGCCGGGCTGCTCATCGCCCGGCTCCTGTCCTGCCCTTCGGGAAGGCGAGCGGGCGCATACATCCCGGCAGAGCTTCTCCAGGGAAGCTGAGGGAGCCCCGGGACCATCCTGCAGGTATTTTGGGTGCAAAGGTAAAGCAGGACACGTCTGCCCTCCCAAGCAGGACCCTTCGCTTCTCCCTCCTCTCCAGCCCCTTGCGACGTGGCACAGTAGCGATGCGCGGCATAAAGCCAGAGAAAAGGCTCCTGCCCGATACCTGCCTGCCACGCACCGGCCACGCCGCACGGTCGCCCATCCCTCGGCATTCCAGGATGAGCCTGCGCTGCACCAAAGGCAGGAATCGGCAGGAGCCGGTCGCAGCCCCGCTCGGCCCCCAGTGCCTCTCAGCATCGCTCTTACAAGTCGGGATCGCTGCGAGCCAAGACCGAGGGGAAGAAAGGGACTAATTAAGTTGCAAATGGAGGAGCTCTTTTTTTTTTTTTTTTATGAGTCACTAAGCCATATGGCTGATGCAAGCTATCCCGCGAAAGTGCCGAGCCGACAATTTGGGCGCTGCCGTATCCTCGTTGTCCTGGGACACGGCGTCACACTGTAATTGCGCCGGTCTTTTGTCCTCCCTCACGCCGGGTGACATTGCTCAGCAGAGGAGAACCTGCTTGAAACGCTATACCTCGCCAGGGACAGATATTTAATTAACGCCAATACGTCAGGGCCCTCCTGCCAGCCTCAAGAACACGATCCTCCATCCCTGGCACAACGGGGCTCATGGGGGAGAGAAAAGCCCTCGAAAGCCGAAATACTGAGTTTGCTCCATTCCTTCTGCTCCATCACAGCACATCACAGTTTTATACAGAAATTATACGGGATGCTAACCTGGATTTGAAGCCAGGCCAGTGCTCAGACAAGCTCTGTCTCCTTTCAAGCTCAGCAGCAGAGTCTGTTCCCACGCCAGCACAGCTCTGTTTCTCAGCAGCAAGGGAAACCCAGCTCTGCTCGCTGCCCCCTTCACCCACTGGCCACTTGCTGTGCCTGGCCACCAAACTAGGTCACATTCTTCTTCAAAATCCCATCTCGCTTCTGTTTCCTTATTTTTAAGTTTGCTTAATTAATCCAAATACAACCCCATCGCCGTCCCGTCCCAGTTGCTTTGTGCTGGCCTGACCATGGCAATTGCCAGCCAGGGAGGTTAAAAGCCACAAATATTTTATAAGCAACAGTTTAGGCTTCAGGAGCCCAGGAATCCTCCCCAAAGGCCGTTCCCCATCCCCACTGCTGCCTTATGGCCCCGGCACGTGCTCCCACACAACCCATCCCCACCAGCCGGAGCTCTGGCCATCGTTCCCCCCTGCCCACGCTCAGCCCAGCTCCACGGGTGGCATGAGGGGGAGCACCGGCAGGGTCCTGCAGGCGAGATGTGCCCAGGCTCCTGGTCCCCCCGTTTCCCCCCCATCCCCTCGCAGATGGCACCTGGAGGTGAAGGCAAGGCTGTGCCTGACGGAGGAGGGTGCCGGTGCAGCCCGCGGTACCTCCCTGTGCTCCCCGGAGCTCCCCGGCTGCTGCAAAGGTTGCACTCGTGTGTGTTCAACCGCTGCCTGAAAGTGTGGTGGCAAAGAAAAAAACCCCACTGCTATAACTGACTCCGTAACCGAGGCAAATATTAAAATCAGCTTTGAGCCTGAATGTCACCGTAACCCACCTAGCAGCGTGCCATGCTCCATTTTCTGGAGACAATCTGCCTATTTTCCCCCTGTTCAAGCCCTGCTTTCCTACGCCAAGGACAGCAGCAAGGCTCCATCGCCGGTGTGCTTGCGTGCCCGGCTGTGTGCGCCTTCCCTGGGGAAGCAAGAGAGGGCAGGGATCGACAATCTGTCAGGCAGAAGGAAGAAATACCACTTCCAGGAGTCAGAGCTCATTTCCCAGCAATAAAAGCAGACTGGGGCTGAGGGAAAGCACCGCTAATGGGGAGGCACATCCCGCACCACTTCAGCTGCTGATAGGAAAGGACCTAGGGACTGCAGCTTGGAAAAATAAAAGCCATCAACAAATGCTTGGTTTTAAGCAGTATAGCCCTAGATTGGGCTCAGATTGGTGCATAAAGGATCTGCTCTTCCACACACGGATTATTGCTGTGGATGATGCCCTCCACGTGCCAACCTCCTCTCCCTGGCTCCTAACTAGAGCTCCTCCAGGAGATAGGAAAAGAAAACATTATTGCTTCCTCCCAGGGAGGGGAATTGCTCAGATCAGCATCCTCCCTTAACTTCCCCCCCTCCCCTCCATCCTCTTTAGCCCCATTACCCCCACTCCGCCCACACACGCTCCTCTGGGGACCCAAGGAAGGGCCAGAGTATCCATTGCTCATAAATGCCACCTAGAAACGAAGACCTGAAGCATTTGTGCTTCCTGGAGTTATTTGTGGTGGATTTTATCTTCTGTTCCATCTATTCTTGGGGCGCTTTGGCAAGGAGGGTCTGTACGGGCAAGCCACCAGCCCGCCTTCCCTCTGCCGGGCTCACGTACTGTGGCTGTAGAGGATGCGAGAAAGACAGTTATCTCCCCACAACAAATCCCAGAAGACAGAGGCAGAACCGCCAGCAATGGGGACATGCCAGAGCCCAGCCACACACAACCGTGGCAGGAGGGGACAGTTCCTGCAAGGCACTTAGTTTGGGTTCTAAGACACTTGTTTGTTTGTTTGTCGCTGGGCAACCGAGAGGATGGAAAAAAATATCAATGTCATATTGTCACCTATGAGTCACCACTACTCGGCACGGGCTAAGATGCCCCGTTCCTCCCACTTCCGAGCACGGGGCGGCCAGGGAAGAGCCCGAGGCACCCCAAAAGCAGCTCACCCCAGCTCTTGCTGCCTGCCCGGTCCTGCCCCAATGCCCTCCCCATCCCTGCAGCTGGGGACACCAGTGGCCCCGGGGACATCAGTGGCCCAGGGACAACTTTCCTGGCCCTGGAAGGCGTCAGAGGAATTTGCATTTATATTTGCATTTCCTAATTGCGCCTGCGGGTTTCCTGGGGCAGCGCCTGGCTTTGGTTTCCATGGCAGGTTTTGTGTGGACCCCGAGAACCGAGGGAGGCACAAAGGGGCCACAATGGACCTGCCACTCACTCGCATCAAAGGCGGCCGGCGGGGCGGGACGGGACGGGGGCACCACGGCCGGGGGCACCACAGCCTGGCCCCCCCCCAGCGCTGCCAACACCAGGGCGGATGCGGGGACCCCCCCCGGGCAGGGGAAGAGGCCGGCCGGCGGCCGATACTCATGGGACGCTGGTGGTTTTGGCACTGCCAGAGCAGCGGTGGGGACACGACACTGGCGGGGCTGCTCCGTGGTGCAAGAACCAGACCCAGCTGTCCCCCCCTGTTCTCATTTCCCGTTATTTTCAGACGGCTTTTCATCCACCTGGGGTGGGTTTCTTTCCTACTTCCCTACTCCATTTAGAAACTGTCTCGCCAGTGAGGCTCCCTGTCCCGGCTCGCCTCGCACACCGCCGTACCCGCTCGGCTCCTGCACTGACCCCAGGGAACCGGCAGACCAGCCCAAAACAGGACCAAGGCCTGGGAAAACCTGGTCCCCGAACCATTGCTGCAAGCCCAGTGCTGCTGAGCAGAAGCGAGGCTCCAGCCAATGTCCCTCCACACCCCGGCCACAGCGATGCTGCCGCCCCGGCCATGCCACAAGAGAGGGACCCATTACCGCCTCGCACACCTGCGAGGTGCTCCGTGTTATTACTTCATTTTTCTTATTTTATAGTATACAATTATCATCATCATCGTGAACTCATGCCACCCAAAAGCTTCCCAGCTCTGACCACGAGTACCCCGCGACACTGGCTGGCGAGCGCACCCAGAGGGTTACGGCAGCAGCCCCCTCCCCACGCATCCCACCGCAGGATTTTACCCTCACGGCACAGACACTGGACACGAATGACCCTCCGGTTCCTCTCCCGGCCGTTCCCCCTCCAAATGCCACTGCCCGCAGCACGCAGCATCCCCATTATCTTAGCCCCCACACAGGGTGTTTGTGCAGGCAGATAAGTACCGAGCGCTCGCTATCGCGCTGGGAAGCCCTGCTCGCTCCCCGCGCGCTCTTATCAGCCCGGGGCGGAGAGGGACCACAGCGCCCACGCCGCCGCAACGGCAAAGCCCGCTCAGCCATGCCACGGATCCGGTCGGGGGAAAAGGTTAGGTGTTGGTGTGCAGGTTAGACGCTGTTTTGTTAGGGATTTTTTTAATTTGAAAGCTCTTTTTTAATAAAATGCTGAAAAAGTCAAAACTTTCCTGGGAACTTTGCAGCTGGGAAGAGGACGGGCGCCTTTCACCCGTCTTTGAAGGAAACACTTTTGGCAATCAGAGGCTCCAGCACCAGGAAGGGTGTGCAGGCACCTGGGGATCGGCGTGTAAGGCTCTGCTGGCATCAGGCACATCCTCACCGCGGCAGAGACAGGCACTGCCGGGGTGGTCAGACGTCATGGCAGGGAAGGCCACAGGAGCAGGGTGCACAATGACAAGAAAGGCACAGCAAGCTGACGATGGGCTGGGTCTCCTCTGCCACGACGACCACCAAAAGTTCTCCTCTAGCCCCACCACCGGCACCGGCCGATCTCCCCTCCCAGAGGTGCAGAGCTCCCCTGGGGTCTTGCTGGCCCAACGCCGGGCTCCAGCCAGGCGCTTCCACAGGAAAACCTTCGTGAAAATCACAAAAAGCTTTGCAGGGGAGCAGATGCCGCTTCAGCCTGCGTTGCTAGAGACGAACGAGGAGGAGGAGGAGGCGAGGAGAGCCACAGCTTCCCCCGCTGCAGGGCAGCCCCGCCAGCAAAGCCCCAGTCGCAGCCTCAGAGGTCACCCCGGGATGGTGGCTTTCCAGGACGTCCTTACCGTCCCCCATGTTTGCTGTCAGTGGTAGCAGCAGGAGGAGGCGTGAGGAGGAGGTGCGACTCTGCTGCTTTTTAAAAAAAAAAATAAAAAGGAGCCTTTCCAACCTGCCTGACAAGACAGACAGTGCATGAGAGCGCTGCTTTGAATGGTGACTTCCACAGGCGAGGCAGCTCTCAAACCCTTCTCCATCGCCGTTTGCCCGTAACCCCATCGGTGGCAATTTCAGCGCTGGTCGGGAACTCCGGGCGAGGAGCAGCCTGGCAGGACGGTGCCCTCCATCCTTACGGGGAGATGCGTCCGGGCACCCGGCCGGAGATCCACAAAGAACCCGGAGCCCAGGAGGTGACCGCCAACTCCTCGGCACGCCGGGGCCCGGCCACGGTTCCTACGCCAAGCTGTGACCCACCCCGGCAAAGATGTCGAGGGGGGTAAAGCGCATCGTTCCGCGAACCAGGCGCAGAGGAAGGGGATGACGTCCCGCAGCGGGGAAGCCACCGAAACCCAAACCCTGCCCGCCGCACCCCACGCTCCGGAGGGATTACGCTCGGGGAAGGGCGATGCTCCGGGGGCTGAGGGGGGACGGGGGCTGCTGCCAGCAACCCCGCTCCCGGGACGGAGACGCTTCACCCCGTGCCCCCACCCACGCCTCCCTAAGGGCCGTCCCCACGCGGGAGGCTCCCCGCGGGACCCTCCCGGTGCCCGGCGGCGGAAGGGGATCCACCGGCACGTTGAAAAACCGGGGGAAACGGCGGACGCCAGGCCCGTGAGCCGCGGCTCCGACCTCCCGGTCTCCCGGCCCGGCTCCGGAGGGGG